TTAGTTTCCTTGGTTCCGTGGTTTATTTAAGTGGTGGCCTCTCACCTGCATAACGAACAAAGGGCTGTCAAAGTGAATTCTTACATTCTTAAGTTCCAGAAGTATCTCTGCCCCAGGGAGATTACAGTTTGTGGCAGACATAGCTTGAGTGTCATCCCTGCTGCTGATCCATCGTGGCTTCTCTGTGATGGATACATAGGCCCAGTAGAGACCCAGATCCCACGACCCCCCAGGATCCAAGTTCTCTGCCTGGTCCACAGCCCACTGGACCAGGTGTCCTGCCCGTCATGGGCTCCCTGGCTCAGAGAAGAAGCTGAGGGCAGCGCCGTGCGCAAGTGGAGCGACCTGGTGTGCTTGGCGATGCCGTTTGGAGGGGCTGCCGGCGTCGGAGTCCCTGGGTGCAAATAAGAGAGAGGAACTTTGGGCTGGCTGGTGTTTCATTAGGCAAGATCCACAGTGGCTCCACTCTCCCAGTAAAGTTACTGAGGATCGCAACTGGGAGGGGGGGGAGTCTTCCTCCCTCTCTCCCAGCACTAGAACTTGTGAAGAGTGAGTGCTGGAAGGTTCAGGACGGAGAAAAGGAAACCCTTCTTCATGCAGCGCACAGTTAAACTCTGGAACTCCCTGCCACTGGAGCGATGGATACCCACCGTAATGGCTTTCAAAGAGGATCAAATTTATGGAAGAGGAGAAGACTGTGAATGGCTGCAAGCCAGGATGGCTCCACGGTCAGAGGCAGCGATGGTGATGCAGCCTAGGACCCATGTACCTATGAGACCGCCTCTCCTGGTATGCCCCGCGGAGGACCTTAAGGTCCACAAATAACAACACTTTGGAGGTCCCAAGCCTCAAGGAGGTTAGATTGGTTTCAACTAGGGCCAGGGCCTTTTCAGTACTGGCCCCGACATGGTGAAACGCTCTGTCCCAAGTGACTAGGGCCCTGCAGGACTGGACATCTTTCCGCAGGGCCTGCAAGGCAGAGCTGTTCCGCCTGGCCTTTGGCTTGGACTCTGTCTGACCCTTATGTTTCCCTCCCCTTATGGTCTTGATTTATCGGCTACTTTAAAACGAGGCTGCATTTTAAATTGCATTTTAACCTGTATTTTAAATTGGGTTTTTTCCCCCCTTCTCTTTTCTCCTATTACGTTTTTACTGTGATTTTATTGGTGTTAGCCACCCTGAACCCGGCTCTGGCTGGGGAGGGTGGGGTATAAATAAAAATTATTATTATTATTATTTTATTAGCCCTGTTGCTGGAAGCCGCAGGAAAGGAGAGAGTTGCTCTTGCACCCGGATCCTGCTTGTGGGTTTCCCACTGGGGTGTCTGGTTGGCCCCTGTGAGGACAGGATCCTGGGCTGGGTGGGGCCCCCTTTGGCCTGATCCAGGCGTCAGGCTCCCCTCCATCCTGCTGCAGTCTCACGTCTTGTTCTGGTGTGAAGCAGCTCTCTTGTCTCCTGGCCAAACCACAGACAAGGGCTTGGCTCTCTCCCTGCGCTGGCAGCCTCTTCTCGGATCCAGCCCCCAGCAGCTGCCTGGTTTTTCCCACAGCTGCCACCCCCGGGTTCGAGTTTCCTGGAGCCGGCAAAGTTGTTTTTCATCATCTGTCGGGCCGGCTTTGTTTCAGCAGCTCTAAAACACACAGCCATAAGCAGTGCTAGAATAGGAGTGTTGGAGGGGGACCCCTAAGGTCTTCTAGTCCAACCGCCTGCCCTGCAAATCGGAATATTGTGAGAGCCATGCCAGGTCAGAGTTTTGGGTTTGGCGAGTAAAGAGGCAACACGACGGGAAATTTATGAATGGAGGATGCGAAGAGAGAAAAGCTCTTCTCATAACACCGGAACCATGTGGCCGTCGAACAAATCTGAATGCTGGAAGATCCAGGAGAGGGAAAAGGAAGGAATTAGTCATGTAGCGCGGAGTTAAACTGTGGAACTCCCTGCCACAGGAGGCAGAGATGGCCGCCCACCTGTGTGATAGGAATTGGGAGGTCTTATATATAAGTTAAATGTTCATAAGTGTACCAACCAAGCATGTACATAGATCAGCACAGGAAGACCGACCTGAAACCATTTTGATTCCCAAACTGACCAAATGTTTTCTCTGCAAGGTCAAAGGAAAATGGAAAAGCCTCCCCATTGTCTTTTCCTTCACAAATCCTGTCTTAAGGGCAAAGGATTTGGCTCCGGAACTAAGTATTTATCATTGCAAAAGACTGGCCAGGCAATCCAATCAAGTGACCATTAAACAGGTAACCTGGCAGACAGGAGGTAAACAAAGCACTCAGATTTCTGCTGTAGACCGCCCTTTCTGTGATGTAGGTATGATGTATCTGGGGGGTGGTCTTGGGTTACACCCCTTCTGTGATGTATGTATGATGTTTCTGGGGGTGGTCTTGATCTACAGGGTGGCAATTTCAAAAGACCAGCATTGTTCTGGTCACCTCAGACTTGCTGCAGTAGCAAAATTTTAAAATGTAGTATTTTTGTTTTGCTTTGCTTTGAATGTGTCTGGTTGACCACCGCTTAGTTCAGATGCCAGGAGCACCCCAGCGGACTCCCAATTTGTGCCTAGCCAGCAGGCGTAGTGGTTAGCGATGGATTATAGGACTCTGGGAGACCGGGTGTGAATCCCCACTCCACCCATCTGACAGCTCGCCAGGGCAACTTTGGGCCTTCTCAGCCTGGTCTGCCTCACAGGGTTGTTGTGAAATGGGGAGAGGGGGAGAGAGTTCTGTGGGGCAGCCCCCCAAGGTCCTTGGTGCGAAGGTGGGATGTAGACGTGATAACAAATAGGTCAGAGTGACCGTTTTTCAAATACACGGCACAAATTTATACAGATATTGCGGCACAGTATATGCAAATGTCTGGCTTATTTAAAACTATATAGAACCTTTATTCTCAAGAATAATGGAGCTCACAGGTGCAGAATACTTTTTTGAATATTAATCTTCCTTGTAAAAGGAACCGTTGTACGAGTTGATATTTATTTATCCTTTTGGAGCTTTGCTGTATCCTAGTACTTTTGTCCTTCCAGGCTGTGACGCTTTATGGTTTAATTATTTTCTTCTGTTTTGTGTGCACTTTTTGTTGCTGTTAACACTTTTTTAATAACCCCACACAGATCAGAGAAAATAAAGGAAATCCCTGTTAGAGAGTCCTGGGGGGGGGGGCGTGTATTAGGAAACATCTCACGAGACAGTTTGGAGCCGGGGTGGCCTAGTGGTTAAGAGTCTCAGACTAGGACCTGGGAGAGACCTGAGTTCGAATCCTCACTCAGAAGCCAGAACTTGGAAGCCAGTCACGGCCTCTCAGCCTGCCTTGGAGGGTTGTTGGGTGGATTAAATGAGGAGCGGGGAGAACTTTGTACGCCACCTTGAGCTCCTTGGAGACTAAAGGTGGGCTTTAAATGCCCCACTTTGGCCCCTGGGTCTCCCATTTCCTCTGCAAAGCCAGGACTGGAGTGTTAACTTTGCAGGGCCCCCGTGGCGTGAAGCTGGGGGGTGACACACAGTGGGAAATGGGGCAGGGCTTGGCCTGACAGATGTGACACTGGGATTAGCAGGATTTGGCCCTCTTCCCAGCTCGCTCTTGCTTCCGCCCGGTTGCTCCCGACTATTGAGGTTTGTTTGTTTTATTGCCCCCCCAACCGCCACCCTTGCGTGCCACTCCTGGGGCTCTGCTGCCGCCACGGCAGGTGGTTTATGGGGCCGGCTGTGTCCCCCCACCGAGCGAGGATTTCAGACAGGTGGAGGGGATTAGAGGAGCCCGGCTGCTTCCTCTCCCTGGCAGAGACCTCCCCAGGTAGAAAGGCAGGGAGCGTTTGCCACGAGAGCGGTTTCAGGAGACTTTCAGAAAGAATTTGCCTTCCGTTAGGTCCATTGAGCTCAGTGATGCCTGCACTGACTGGCAGCAGCGAATCTCCAGGGTTTCAGGCAGGGGGACGTTTGCCAGTCTCCGTGTATTATTATATTTCATTTTGTTTATAAATGATTGTAAAGGGAGGGGGGAGTGGTTTACGAAAAGGATAAACCTGTAAAATTATCACATAGGCAAAATTTAACAACCATAGCTGAAGACAACTCAAAAAGTTAAAACAGCCGTAGACCGAAAAGCAAGTGAGAATGTTTTGAGCTGGTACAGGGAATGGGCTTGCCTTGTATCAATAGGCAGGGAGTTCCAAAGTGCAGCTGCTGCTGCCCAAAAAGATTTGAGTTCTTGCAAATGTGGAACGGGCATTGTGTGGCACCCGTTAACAGTGCCAGTTTCGCCAATCGAAGCGGGTGCATGGGCACAGATGGGAAGGGCGGTCTCTACTGGCAGATGCTGCTAGGAATTGAACCTTCTGCATGCAGAACACGTGTCCTAACACTGGCCCTTCCCCCCGATAAAACAAGTTCCCATTCCTCATGTTTCCAAGGAAAGTAATAACTCGTGCAAAATGAGGACAAATTGGTGAATGTGTTTTTATTGGCATGATATATGTGGGAGGGAGGACGCGGGTGGCGCTGTGGGTAAAACCTCAGCGCCTAGGACTTGCCGATCGTCAGGTCGGCAGTTCGAATCCCCGCGGCGGGGTGAGCTCCCGTTGCTCGGTCCCAGCGCCTGCCAACCTAGCAGTTCGAAAGCACGTCAGAGTGCGAGTAGATAAATAGGGACCGCTTACCAGCGGGAAGGTAAACGGCGTTCCGTGTGCTGTGCTGGCTCGCCACATGCAGCTTGTCACGCTGGCCACGTGACCCAGAAGTGTCTGCGGACAGCGCTGGCCCCCGGCCTATAGAGTGAGATGGGCGCACAACCCTAGAGTCTGGCAAGACTGGCCCGTACGGACAGGGGTACCTTTACCTTTACCTTTATATGTGGGAGATGCCTGGTTTTGTAGTGGGGAATATAGTCTATTGGGGGGGGTAGCTTAATTGGAAGAGCCATTGGGTGAGCTGCTGTGATGTCACAGAAGCTCCTGAGATGGTCAGCTTCTCAACCTCTTCCTTTTCCTCCTGCAGCGAGGGGGTCTTCAAGTGTCCAGAGGACCAGCTGCCCCTTGACTACGCCAAGGTGAGTGCCCCCCACCCACCCAAAGAACCCCTTCCTTCTACTAGCTGAAACGTTGGTAGGCACCGAGGGCTACAAGGGGAGCCCTATTCCTCTCCCCCAGTTGCCTCCCTCTCTCCTCGCCTAAGGACACCTGGATTGTACAGTAAAATCCATATTTAAAAAGTTAAAAATTAACCATTGTGGAAAGATACTATTCTTAATTGCCTCTCAGAATAGAAGCGCTTTTGTCAGGCATTTAAATGTTAGAACAGAAGGTGCTTCTTGTCAGTCACTCTTGACAGAGAGAGAGATTGTATTATTATTATTATTAATAATAATAATAATAATTTTTATTCATACCCCACCCTCCCCAGCCAAGACTCGGCTCAGGGCGGCTAACACCAAATATAAAACAATTGATTGAAATACAACTTGAAAACAAGATTAAAATACAACATTAAAATGCAGCCTCATTTCAGCAGAAACTCAAAAACTTTTTGGGGGATAAAAACGTCAAGTCTTCACCAAGGCCAACTATCCAGACTGGTCCGACTTGGGCCAGAAAAAAGCCAGGGAAGTCCCCAAGTAGGAGTTCCGTCACAGAAGGAAAGAGGAAAAAAGAATATATATATAAATACTTTTAAACAAATAAATGGATCAATGAAACAAGGCACTCTGCGTGTGGTGGGTTCTACATTCAGAACTCATCTCCTGCTGCCCCTTGAAAGCTGTCCAGCATTTTGTATTTTGTATTGTATTGTCTATTGAAATACCAAAAAAAACCACAGAACCCTATTTATGTACACAACCACAGTGGCTAGGATTTTAATAGCGAAAACTGGAAAGGCGACTTAATCCCCAGTGGCAATTGAACTTGCAAAAATGACTGGGAGAATAAGAGGAGACTTAAACCAGAAAGTCAACAAAGATTGGATAATATTGAAAGAATACCTTAGAAAGTATTATGATAATGCAAATCTCTTGACAGATTTGAAGTATAAGGAAAGTATAAAAGTAAAATTTCTTTTGATAAGTAACAGAAAAGTAATAATAATGAAGTGCATATAGATTAATAAAGTGTAAAAAGTACAATGAGATGAATCGGAAGTTAATGAGATGATGTTTAGTTAGTGTCTGTGTTTGTTTCTGTGGGGTTTTTGTCCTGTTTGTGTTACGTGTAAATTGTTTTGTAATAAATAATTGTTTTAATCAAAAGAAGGAAAGAAGTCTATCCTGCAAGTGCTTTTTTGCGTCTCATATTTCCCCCTTCCTTTCCCAGATCTACCCAGACCCAGAACTGGAGGCCCAGGTCCTGAGCTTGACCATCCGGTGCATACACAGCGAGGAGGGGTGCCGCTGGAGCGGGACCGTCCGCCATCTGCAGGTGAGGAGACAGGCTGGAAAAACCAGGGATGGGGAGCCCTCAGCCCTCCTGGTATTGGTGTGGTATGGCGCTCGTCTTCCCTTGACCTAATGTGGTCCAGCCCTTAAAAAGTAAGGTTAAGCTTGTAGTCCTCATGGTTTTGAATAAAGCACTGTGGATCAGAGAGCTGGGCTTCAGTCCTTAAAAGTAAGGTTAAGACTGTAGTCCCGGTTCTGGACCACAGAGCTGGGGCCCATTCCTTAAAAAGGAAGTTTTTTTAGGTTGTTATTTATACTTTCCCAATTTATACATTTCATTAGTTTTACAATCAGTTTGACATTCCAACATTTGACTTCCTTCCCCCTCTTTCGGCGGTTCCTTAAATTTATTTCTTCATATCTTCTGCATATCCAAGTTTGTTTAACTTGCTCATTTTATTATCTACTGCAGATATATACTCTTTTAAAACTACAGGTTATTACACTAATCCTGCTAATGGTTTTCTCTGTTTACAATTTATCTGTAAATATTCAATCAACCATTTCCATTCTTTTACAAAAAGTTTGTTATCTTGATTTCTTCTTCCAGCTGAGTTTCGCCACTTCTTCATTATTCCATAAGTTTTTGTATCCATTCTTCATTTGCTGGGACATCTTTTTAACAATTTTGGGCAAGTAACATTCTTGCTGCTGTAGTAGCCGACATGAATAAATTTCTATACAATTCAGGTAGTTCTGTCCCTATAAGTCCCAAAACTTTTAAGAAGTTAAAATGGTAGTCCTCATGGTTCTGGATTAAGGGTTTGAAATAGGATCTCCTTGGCAGAGTCAGACCATTGGCCTGTCTAGCTCAATATTGCCTACACTGGCTGGCAGCAGCCCTCCACAAAGGATATCTTAGCTTAGACCTTCCTGGGAATCAAACCTGGTGGCCCTGGCTTCCCTGACCTGTGTGAAGAGGGCTGGGGAAAGGAAGAAGTTTTCTGGCTGACCCCCCCCCCAATCCTGCGCCCCCCCCTTCTTGCCCAGGTGCACCTTGGGACGTGCAGCTACAACGTGGTACCCTGCCCCAACCGCTGTGGGGCCAAGCTGAGCCGCCGGGACCTCCCGCCCCACGTGCAGCACGACTGCCCCCAGCGCCACCTCAAGTGCGAGTTCTGCGGGGCCGACTTCACGGGGGAAGCCTACGAGGTGAGGAGGCGGGGCCGGAGGGGCGGGGCTTGGGAAATGGGGCGGGGCCTCTTGGCCATGGGGCAGCCGGGGCAGCCGTGGAGCGAAACTGGGGGGCCCGTTTCCGTTGTCAGGATAGACCCTCGTCTGAAAGGCACCCGCCTCAGGCCACTCGCCGGCCCTGCTGAGCTGCTGCCATTGGCTGAGCTGCTGTGAAGTCACAGAGCTCCTCAGAATGTCAGGAGCATCTAAGAGGCGAGGAAAGGCTTGGTATTAGAATGGGGAGACGGGTTGTGAGGTTGGTTGGTTTTGCAAGGGGAGAGAGGCCAGTTTGGCTGAGATTTAGCCCAGAGAAAGAGGAGGGGCTCTGTCACTTCCAGAAGTCCGTTCATCTTCCAAATTTATTAAATCCATTTTTATTTTTTAAAAATTCATTAAAATGTCACAATGCAGTGCTTGGAGCTTGAGGGTCTGTTTGTATGTTTACTTTCTGATTTTTGAGTTGAGCAAATGGTCAGAAAGACAAAACAGGTCTATGTCTGTGCAATAACTGTCATGCAGTGATTCGCTATTGTGCACTTTTAATGAATTTTTTTAAAAAATGGATTTAGTAAATTTTTATTTGTATGTTTTCACTGCCAGCATGCCAGTGATCTAACATATATTTAAATGTAAATAAATGGGGGTGGGGTGGAAAACCAGGGAGAGATCCTGAGCTACAGACCTTCGCCTAAAAAAATAATAATAATTGAGATTCCTGGTCCTCATGGGTCTCAGTTAAGGAACACAGGAAGCTGCCAGACCTTTGGCCCTCCTAGCGAGATGTTGTTCACACTGACCGGCAGCAGCTGTCCTGGGTTTGTGGCCGGGACTCTCCCCAGCGCTGCCTGGAGTTGTTTTGAACCTGCCAAGCAGCCGCTCTGCCCTTGAGCTGTGGCCCTTCCCGCAGAGAGGATGCCCAGGCAGGAGGGGTCCTTCTGGTGCCCCTCCCTCTGTATTAACCCCGTGGCCTCTCCCCCTCTTCCCCCCCAGAACCACCAGGGCCTCTGTCCCCAGGAGAGCGTCTACTGTGAAAACAAGTGTGGTGCCCGGATGATGCGACGGCTGCTGTCTCAGCACATGCTCTCTGAGTGCCCCAAGCGCACGCAGCCCTGCGGCTACTGCAGCAAGGAGTTCCTGTACGACACCATCCAGGTGGGAGCCGGGAGAAGGCGGGAGCTGTGCCAGGGGCGCCGGGGGGTGGGAGGACCAGAGGAGCCCTTGGCAAGCTCCAGAACGTAGCAGAATGGCTTCTTTCCCTTTAATTTGCTCTTTTAAATATATTATTATTATTATTATTATTATTAATTATTATTTATACCCTGATTTCACCAGCCACTCTGGGCAGCTCACAACATTTCTAAAAACATCAAGCATTAAAAACCTCCCAATACAGGGCTGCTTTCGTTTCCTTATTTACATTAGTTTTCCAAATCTTACTGTATTATGAATTTAGATTCAGATAGGAAGCTGTGTTGGTATGACGCAGAAGAAATAAATTTTAAAAATTGTCCAGCAAACTTAGTTGGTCTCTAAGGTGCTACTGGACAATTTTTTTAAAATTTTTATTTCATCTGTATTATGAAAAACTCTAATAAAAAAAGTCTTACATCAAGCATTAAAAAGCTCCTAATACAGGGCTGTTTTCGTTTTCTTATTTACATTAGTTTTCTAAATCTTACTGTATTATGAAAAACCTTAACAAAAATCTTGCATCAGGATTTAGTAGAACTGTTAATAGAGTGCAGGATTTGCAGCTAAAGAAACCTCCCAACCTTCGAAACCTCCCAGGAATCGTAGAATTGCAGAGCTGAAGAGGGAACCCCCCCCCAGGGGGTCGCCTATTCCACCCCCCTTGCAAACTGTCTCGGAGTTTGTCTGAATCCTCTTCCTCCGCTCCCCCAGAACCACGAGTATCAGTGCCCGCGTTACCCCGTGCCTTGCCCGAACCAGTGTGGGGTGCCCAGCATCGCCAGGGAAGACCTCAGCGGGCACTTGAAAGAGAACTGCACCACGGCGCTGGCGCTCTGCCCCTTCAAGGAAGCTGGCTGCAAGCACCGGGTAAGGCCTTCCTCCTCCCTTTGCGCAGCCTTTCCTTTACTGCTGTGCCTGCCCCTCGCCCCAGTCTCGCTCTCTGACAAGGCCCGGCATCCAAAAACCCTCTCCGCTGCGGCACAAGCCCTTTCAGAGTTACTGCCGTGTTATTTTCAGAGTCATTGCCATGGCCAGCTCTTCCTCACAGGGTTGTTGTGAGTTTAAGGGGGAGAGCTGTGTACACGGCCTTCAGCTCCGAGGGGGGAATGTAATAACAGAGAATGAGAGGGATGATTAAAAAAAAGGGGACAGGTTTTCTGAAATGGGGAGGTCCATTTTTGAAAACTGTTTTATCCATTTTTCTGGGTCCCCAGAAGCAATTTTCCTTCTTTTAGCAATGGGTGCCCAGTTCCCATTTTATTTGTGGGCATTCTCAATTAACTAGAAGGGTTTTTGAGGACTGTGTTAAAGATCATTGGAGGTTTGGGACAGGTCCTCCTTCACCGCAGGGCTGTCGTTGACTTGTGGGTCCCGCTGCTGCCTCAGGATGTGTCTGACAATGGCCGTAGGCTGTGAGGGCTTTTAATAAAGGGGGGTTAGGCAAATTTCTGGAAGAGGAAGAGGCAATCAAAGGCTGCTTGGTGTGGAGGCTCAGTGGAGCCTCCAAGACGCAGAGCAGTCTACCTTTGAATGCCAGATTCTGGGGCAAGTGAGAAGGCAGCTGCTTGGCCACTGGAGGAAACGAGAGGAGTCTGGCTGCTGGATAAACCCCTCAGAGTGGTTTGCAAAGAGAATAAAACAATAAAATTATCTTTAAAGCAGCTCTTTAAAACACCCCAAAGATAAATTCAACAACAAACTAGAAACAAGTTAAAACTTGTCCCAGCTTTCTAAACATCTGGGTAGGCTTGTTTAGACAAAAATGTCTCCAGCAGGCGCCGAAAAGAGGACGGCAAAGGCTCCTGCCTGATCTCAATAGGCAGGGAGTTCCAAAGTGCAGCTTCTGCCACACTAAAGGACCACGTTCTTATAAATGCAGAAGGGGTCTCACATGGCAGAGGTGGCAATTCTGGTTCTCCCAATCGAAGCAGGCCTGGATGGGGTCAGCGGATCTCACAGGCAAATTGGCCGCAAGTTGTTAAGGGCTTTGTATATTAATAGCAACGCCTTGAACTTGGTCCGAAAGCAAGTGCAGTTCTCTGAGCGCAGGAGTTAAGTGCCAGCAAGGCCTCCCTCCTGTCAGCAACTGGGCTGCAGCATCCTGCCGCAATGGAAGCTTCCGGATCAGGAGCGAGGGAAGCCCTGGTTAGGGCTCACTGCAGTAGTCCAGTGTCGAAGTCCCTGCGCAAGAAAGGCAGGAGGGGGAAGCGGGGGCCACAATCTTGGCTGGCTTTGAAAGAGGACTAGGCAGATCCAGGGAGGAGGCGAAGGCTGCTGATGACCACCAACCAGTCAGAGGCAGATCCTGCTTGCAGGTTTCCCATAATAATCATCTGGCTGGCCACTGTGAGAACAGGAATGTTGCGCTAGCTGAGCAACTGGCCTGAGGCAGCGAGCTGTTCTTACACGCAGGTCGGTCTTGTGTTCGAATCCTGCTTGCGGTCTTCCCTCCAGGGGGCACCTGGTTGTGAGAAGAGGAGGCTGGGCTAGGTGGGACCATGGCCTGATCCTGCCCGGGCTCCTCTTCTTACCCTTGACCCGAACTACAGAATTCAGCGTTTGGAGACGCTTGCTTTCGTCCAGTTTCCTAGTCCTCATGATTCTGTAAGGATCAGGTGGGCCGCTGCCGTGATCCCGGCAGCCTGGCCTCTCGTTCTTACGCTGTCCCCGGTCTCTCTCCTCCCCCCCGCAGTGCCCCAAGCTCTCCATGAGCCGCCACCTGGACGAGAGCACGAAGATGCACCTGGGCCTGATGTGCGCCCTGGTGGCTCGCCAGCGGCAGGAGCTGGGGGACCTCCGCCGCGAGGTGGAGGAGCTGGCAGTGGGCAGCGAGGGCGTCCTGATCTGGAAGATCGCTGATTACGCCCGCAAGCTGCAGGAGGCCAAGGCCCGCAGCAACTTCGAGTCCTTCAGCCCTCCCTTCTACACCCACCGCTACGGCTACCGGCTCCAGGTCTCTGCCTTCCTCAACGGGAACGGCAGCGGTGAGGGCAGCCACCTCTCGGTCTACATCCGCGTCCTGCCCGGCCAGTACGACAACCTCCTGGAGTGGCCCTTCGCCTACCGGGTCACCTTCTCCCTGCTGGACCAGAGCGACCCCTCGCTCTCCAAGCCGCAGCACATCACCGAGACCTTCCTGCCGGACCCCAACTGGAAGAACTTCCAGAAGCCCGGGGCGGGGCGCACGTCCCTGGACGAGAGCCTGCTGGGGTTCGGGTACCCCAAGTTCATCTCCCACGAGGACATCAAGAAGCGCAACTATGTGAGGGACAACGCCGTCTTCATCAAGGCCTCGGTGGAGATCCCCCAGAAAATCATCTCCTGAGCGCCTTCGTCCCCGGAAAGACGGGATTAAATCGGTTCCTGCTTTGCAACGGGTCAGACTGGATGAGCCTTGGTGCGCCCTTGAAACTCTACAAGTCTGTGATTATATGGTTCTCTGGAGGTTTTTAAGCAGAGATTTTTTGGGTAGGGGGGTTCTCTAGCTGTGATTCCTGCATTGGACTAAATGGACCTCGAAGTCCCTTCAGACTATGATTCTCCAGAGTGCTGCATTGGAGTTTTGCATCTGAAAATATTGTACTCTTGTCTTGCCCAACTTGCCCTTTGTAGTCCTGACCTCTGGATGGATTCTCAGCCTCCCCACCTCCTGAAATGGTGCTAACTTGCTACAGCTCAACGAGGAAATCCTGCCTGCCTTGAGACCATCTCCTCCCCACCCCACCCCCACCCCCACCCCAAAGCAGCTGGGCTGCCTCTGTTTTCCTCCCCCCAAAAAATAATAATTCCTCAGCTCTTCTTCCAGAGCATCCTGCCCTGGTCTTTGTCCTTTGGGTCTTGGGTTCAAGAGGCAGGAAGAATGCTTGACCCTTTCCCCCATGGCAAACGCCGGGGTTGGCTTTGGGGGGTGCAGGGGGGAGGGGGGTCCCCCAGTGAGAGCACACTGGGGCTTTTGGCTTTGTGATGGGCCAGTCTTCCACCAGATCCTCCTCCTCTCCCCCCACCAAAAAAGCCAGCTTTCCTAGCCATAGTCCTGGGAAGAATGTGTCCCAAAATGGGGGCCTGTCTATCTGTCTGTCTTTCTATCTGTCTCCCTCGGTGGTCTCTCAGGGATGCCCTGCAATTGCTTTGGACGGACACTGGAGGAAGTTGAGGCCCCTTCTACCTTCCAGGTACGGCCACCGGTCAGCATCTCGAGGCTACTGACCCCAATAATCTTCCCTCCTTGTGCCTAGACCCCTTTGCCTCCCACTCAGTTGCCTGGATTGATCTCCTGTTTAGCGGGGGGAGCAGTAGGGCAGGGAGAGGAGCCCCCCCCACCCCCCTACTCCATCACAGAGCCATATTTTGTACAGGGAGCCCCAGAGTCTTTGAGTGGATCTGGTCCTCCTCCATCCTCTGTCCTGTTTTTGGAATCAGTTTTCTCCCGCAGGGGTGTTAGGGAAGAGCAGCTGCGATTTCTGCTCCTGACTTCTTTTCTCTGCCTCTCTCAGTCTCTGTGTGTTTTTTTAAAATAAACAATTTCGTGTATTTATTAACCAGGCTCTTCTTCCTTACGTGAGGGTCTTACTCTGCTTGCTGACTCTGAAAGGTCTGACTTAGACCAGTGGATCCCAAACTTTTTTGGGCAGCTGGGGAGGGGGTGGAAACTCAGTGCCCCCTACCCTGAAAAAAGCATTGTTCAGAACAGTGGTCTTACTACCCACTGAGGAGGATAATAAGCACCATAAAATTTTAAAACGGTCACAATTAATTGCACATTTGCTCAAAATCCAGTTAAAACTATTTAGTTTAATTAAGTCGACAGAATGGATGAAGTTGATCCGGTAATACCAGCTTTTCAAAGTCTGAGAGGCATTTATGCTTCCAGCCGACCCCTTTCCTCTTAGATCCCACCAAGGTCATCCACTGCCCACCCCCAGGAGGCAAGATGCACCCACTTGGAAACCACTGCACTAGATGGCCTTTGGCTGGTGGCGCTGTGGGTTAAACCATAGAGCCTAGGGCTTGCCGAGCAGAAGGTTGGCGGTTCGAATCCCCGCGACGGGATGAGCTCCCGTTGCTCGGTCCCTGCTCCTGCCAACCTAGATGTTCGAAAGCACGTCAAAGTGCAAGTAGATAAATAGGTACCGCTCCGGCGGGAAGGTAAATGGTGTTTCTGTGCGCTGTTCTGGTTCGCCAGAAGCGGCTTAGTCATGCTGGCCACATGACCTGGAAGCTGTACGCTGGCTCCCTCGGCCAATAAAGCGAGATGAGCGCCACAACCCCAGAGTCGGTCATGACTGGACCTAACGGTCAGGGGTCCCTTTACCAATGACTTGCCAGTGGGGGGGGGAGCCCTCGTAGTCGTGCTGTACCCCCCCTTGTGCTGCATTGGGGGGGGCAGCCCATTTAGCTCCCAGCAGTAAAGGGAGCTGCCTCCAGGCCTTGCACATGTGTCTTGGTGTGCAGAAGGTTCAATCCCGGGGGGCTGGGAGAGTCACTGCAGAAAGCTGCTGCCAGTCAGTGTAGACAACACTGGGCTAGATGGACTGGCAGTCTGGGAGAAGGCAGCTTCCCGTGTTCCTAATTCTCCCTCTTCGCAGCTTTCCCCGTTGCCAGACCTTTCTCCAGCTGTGTGTTGAGGAAGAGGGGAGAGGGGGCCAGCCATGTTCCCAGCTCCTCCGCGCTGGCCATTGTTGCTCCTGCCTTGGGGCTGGGAGGTTGACATCCTGCTCCTTAAATTACAGAACCTCCTTGGGCTGTGATTTCCTCCTGGTTCTGTGCCAAGGGGCCGCAGGCCGGCAGCGGTGGTGCCAGGCAATAACTGCCTTTGTGGCCTTTGGTCTTCTAATTCTGGAAATGGCAATTTAATTCCAAATATATCACACTGTGTTTTGAGCTGCCGCTGCAATGTGTGGGTTTCTTGGGCCTTGGAAATGCAGCCAGCCAGCCAGCCACATAGCTAAGCTGCAAACCTAGATCTGCCCCTTTTAGGAACCATAGACAACCTGCCTGTCCTTCCTGCCTCAACCTTCCTGTCTATACTATGGGGATAATAATACTGATTAAAAGGATTATGTGTCTGTGGCATGCTTTGCACAGCAACATATTGGTGCAGGATGCGTGTCTGGGCCTCCTCTCCCCAGAGTGGGGGCCCACAAAGGCCATAGCTCAGAGCAGCTACTGCGCATCATGCAGAAGGTGCCAGGTTCAATCTCTTCTTAAAAGGGATCTGGTACCGGGTCCCTCTCCACTTGAGACCCTGAAGATCTGTTGCGGAGTAGCCTGGAATCCTGGGCACTTTGGCTTACCCCTCTCTGAGCTACAGTTCCCCACACCTGTAAACTACAGTTCCCAACATTCTTGGAGTTAGGTGAATGGGTGCAGCGTGCAGAGAGGTGCCTGGGTGCTGTCATGCAGGGTTAGAAATTTCTTGTAGAGAGCAAGGAAGGAAAGAAAAGCTTCACTGTGCCAGCAGGTAGCCTTGGGCCATCTATGACAGATCACCTGTGTGCCCCAGCCTTTACCCTCTCCTTGTGTGCGTAATCTCCTGTTTATAGGCAGGAAGGTGGTTGTTTCTTTGGACTCTGGCCTGGCCTTTGGGTTCTGCCCTCCTGGGGTGTATCCAGCCACCGCCTTCAGGTTCCTCTTCCGCATTTGCCAGATGCTTCACCTCTGAGTCACCTGCCAGGCAGACCTGGGTGGAACAGTTTTTGATTTTTGTGTAGTGCGAAGGTGGTATTCCTGCGGTCGACGTACTTATTCCTTTGCATTCCAGTTCCTTGCCATTTTGATCCTTTGCCCCATGAAAGGTTAACAATTTTTTAAAAAAATATGAGCTCTGGAGGCAGGTTTCACGTTCTGTTGAAATGGATCAGGTCTCAGGTGCTAAAGAAGACCCTTCTCTGCCCAAGACCCTGGGGAGCAGCTGCCGGTCAGAGCAGGCAATACTGGGCCAGAAGGACCAAAGGTCTGGATAAACCAGCATCCTAGATTCCTAAAATCAGGTGATCTGTAAAACCAATGCAGGAAGGTTGTTTCAGACAAGCTTTGAAATCCTGCCTTGCAATGGGGTGAGACTAGATGAGCCTTGGGTGTCCCTTCCAAGTTTTACAGTTCTATTATTCTATTTTCCGAAGCCAAAGGAGTGACGTGGGAGCCTGTTAGAGCAGCAAAGACAGAAGGTGTGTTTGCAGCAGGTTGTGTCTGGGGGGAATTCAAATCTCTCTCAAAGAAAATCCTAGGCCACTGCTGATACAAAGTTTACTGAATGAGGAAACGGAACGAAGCAGCCCCACCCAGGCGCTTAGTGGTGAATCTTCTTTTCCTTGCAGAATTATACTACGGCACAGGTTGCATCTTGTGGCAGGATGCATCCGGAACAGTCCATTCAAAGGACGTGCAATCTCCTGTCTGTCTCCTGGCACAATCGTAAATCCTCAAGGGTGCAAAATCAACTAGCGGTCAGCTGGTTTCTGGGCCCGATCCAAGATGCTCCCATTAGTGTTTAAAGCCCTAAACGACTCAGGCGCCCAGTGCCTCCTTGCCTACAGACCCACTCAGGGGTTAAGGTCTCCCTTGATAGTTCTCTTGCCCTCTGTGACAGACACTAAATAATTACAGCTATTTTGAATTTAAATCCCAGCCTTCTTCCCAAGTGGGGATTCAAACCCTGGTCTCAGCCCAGGACTGTAGACCACACTCAATGCTCGGTGGCTCCAGTGGTCTGACTCTGCCTGAAGCATCTTCCTGCCTCTCTATAATTTGTCGCGTGGTGTTTATAGGAACGGTCAGAGCGGGACCCACCTTCTTGCCCAAGAAGGCATTCAAAGACCCGCTGTTGCCGATGCGCAGAGTGGTCCTGTCGCAACCCAGAGTGCTGTTCTCCCTGACCCAGCCAGTGGGCTTAAGAGGCAGATGGGGATCCTGTTCTGGAAAAGAAGGGTGTCTCTGCTTCCTGCCATCCCTACTCTTAGGAACTGGGGCAAAAGGCTCTGCCTTAATCGGTGACCCACATACAGCCCCAGACAACAGGGGCTTAGACAAGGAGATGGCTGGTAAGTCAATCCTGCCCGGAGGCTCAGGACCCCTCCCTCCCTCCCCCGCCCCCCAGTATGGGAAGAAAGGGGGGAATGGTTCTTTGGAGCCTCTGACAAGCATTCAAATGGGGGCAGGGAGGCGGGGGATAAAATCTCCGTTCTTGAAAGGCAAACTAGAAAAGGCCTTTCCCCCTCCTTTTTCTGTAGTGCAAAAGTGATAATTTCCCCCCAGTGATGCGGCTTCTGTAGAAGTAGTCGATATAGCCCTCCCCCCTGTAATTGTCAAAAAATTGGTGCATTAATGTACAGAGAATGCGGTTGCTTTCAATTCCACTCTGCACCCACCCCCAATTATATCGCGCAAAAGTCATTTGCAAATTGTCTGTGCCAGCAAACTCCCCCTTTATTTTTTTAACTTTAAGGGAAAAATCCAGATTCACAACCAGCGGCTTGGAAGAGTGTTGGAAGAGGTCAGAAAATGATTTCCTCCTTTCTCCACCCCGAAATTCTCCAGCGTCACCAGCTGGAACTCAGTGTGGTCCCCCCTCCTCCTTCATTTCCCCAAATTCACAGCCAGCAGCAGCTGTGCAGGGTTTGAAATCCCAGCAGCTAATTAGCCGGATCTGTAATTAAGGTGCACTTTGCTGAGAGCTGGGTGCTAATTCACAGCAGATGGAGGTGAGGACGGGAAGGAAATGACTGCCTGGTGTGAGGAAGGAGGGAGAATTGGATGAGGCCTGTCTCTCCAGCCTAAGTCCTAACAATTCCAGCATTTTCCGGGGAGGGGGGTGGGATGGAGAAGGGCAAATATTTGGCATTAGGGATGCCAGCCTCGGCTTGGGAAGCAAATAGCCACCCTCAGCCCCTGCCCAAAGCCCAAGGAGGCCAGCAAGGCGCAAGGGTTTCGTAGAAGAGGGCAAACTTCCCTTCCAAGAGCCCCTCTCTCGCTTTGCCTCTGCCCCCTCTTCCTGTTTTGCAGAGACACCCTCTTCCCTCAAATCTGTCTGAGCACCCTAGTCCCACGTCTGCCCTGCTAATCTCCCAATTGCATTAGAGGGGTCCTGCCTTTAGGCTGATTACCAGTAACCTGTTCTGTCTGTATCACAATATATCTGAGCTGATCCGTCCCCACCCAAATCCAGATTACGTCCAAAGGGCTGGTCCTTTTCAAAATCCTTTTATGGCCTGAATACTTGAGGGATGGTAGCCTCTCAGTGGTCTCATCATCTAACAGGGTGGGTTGAGCAGCAAGTTCGCCTCCCTCCTCCCCAATTTTATCCCCGCAACAGCCCTGCAAGGTAGGTTAGGCTGAGAGAGGCAGTGACTGGCCCAAGGTCACCCAGCACGGTGTGGGTTTATTATTGAACCCTGGTCTCCCAGGTCCTAGTCCAGCACTCTGGCCACTGCCCCACAAGGCTTAATTTTAAAAGCCACCCCCCCATCAGTCTACAACTTCTAAAGTACTTTGCAGAGTGGTTCATCCTGCTGTTTCTCAGCTCTCTGAATTTAATAATAAT